TAGTAATTGAGCACACTTTTCATTGTTTCTAACAAAATTTTCCAGTTTCTTAATACTTTGCTTTGCTGTTGGAAGGCATCTTTTGGTATTTTTCTTCATATTTTGGTGTCACATTTTCTGTCATTAATGGGGTCTGAACTTATTACAGTAGGCTACCTTCCTCTCCCATCAGTTATGTGCCATGCATGTTACACACTTAGGTGATCATGTATCTTTTGATACATGATTGATGAGGTAGATTTTTCCTGCTGTGGGTTGCCATTTCTTTCTGTGGTAGACCAGTTGCCATCCAAGGCTATAGAACCCGGTCTGTCCTGCTATTTACTCATAGCTGGGAGGAGAAGAAGAGAATTCATACCTTTCCCAAGGGTATTAGCACGTAAATGAATGTAATGGATTCAACTGGAATTTGAACTTAGCTTTCTGATTCCTCAGTCCAAGCTGCTATCCTTTACTCCACTGTGCCTCCTATCCCTTACAGTATTTATTTGCTAAATATATGTTAGTCTGGCACAAAGCCACATTATTAGGGCATTTAGTGAGGAGTAAACTTACGATAATAGCAGACAAGTTTCTGAGCCAACTTATTATATGTGGTTCCCATATTGTGTTACTTTATATTAGCTTAATGTTCCTCAGGACGTGTAGGGCAGGGTAGCAGATGTTGGCATGGAAAGTGGAATAGGCAAGCAGAATTAAAATTCCAGCTGAATCTGTTGTGTTCACTTTGCACTAATAGCCTTGGGAAAGGCATGAATCTTTCTTTGCCTAATCTAGATATGGGCTAACTCACAAATAAACCCAAACTCTCTAGCTATGACTGGCAGCCAGTCTGAGAGAAGGAAAACTCTGAATTTGAAACTGCTGGGTGTACAAATGTCATGCAGTGTGAGAAGGGCATATTTGCATTGAAGCTTAGTCTGACAATTCACTGCAACTGATTCTCCTACCAGCTATCCTATCTCCCACCTTGTTGTGAGATTGATTTGTTTTTTTTATGGCTTATCAACCGTATGCAGGTTATTTAAAGCCAGAAAATAATTTTAGATTTTAAGAATATTTTTAAGATAATAATGGTTTATTGATACAAGTTCTACTAATTAACTCATATCTGGGGGAGAAGAGATGAATTCTTACTTTTCCCAAGGATATTTGCACATAAGTGAATATAATGAACCCTAATGGAATTTTGGAACTTGGCTCTCCAATTTTCAACTCCAATTCATTACACCACCTGCACATCCAAGCTTACAGCAGCTGGTATTCTCAAGTAGTCACCCATCTAGGTACTGACCAGGCTTGATGATGTTTAACTTTGGTGTTAAAACTGATGTTTCAACATGATATGGCCGTAAGACTCTTGTTATGGGATCCTGGAGAGGATAATGGGTCCTTTTTGAACTAAGAAGATCCACTCATAAAAGCATGATTCCTTGAAAGGAAACATCATCATCTAATGACAATAATCTTCTGTATCACTTATGAAAAGTTATATTATTGCTTTAAAGGTCCCAGAATTAAGGATCTGAAAATACTTAACTGTTTATCATGAGGTAAAAAAAGTAAAAGTAATTTATATCTTTATTTGATTTTGTATTGGATATATAATATATAATGTAAATATATTATAAACAAATATAATTAATATAAATAATAAATGTAAATATAATTATAATTATCTAAATTTGACATATTGGCAGCAGCTGCATTCTGTAACATAACTGCAATTAATATAGAAAGCTGTTATGGAGAAATAGTATGGAAAGAGCTGAGTTTAAATTCCCACCTAATCTGATTTTTTTCTTAATCATTTCATACCAAGCAAGGCAATAAAGCCACAAAGACACAAATAGTTACTGAGTGTTAGAGAATATGAGAAATAAAAACACTATTAAGTAGAGAGAACAATAAAAGAACGAGAATTAAAGACAGAAGTTAATGATTGACATTACATTTAAATTTTGTAAGATCAATATTGACTGGGGAGCAAGAAGCCAGAAGAGAGTTCAATAAGCAAGAAGTGTGATAGAAGAAACTGTTAGCATAGAACTTATGGTTACATCCAGCTATTTCAACTGTAATATGAGACCTTGTCATCAATCTAATACAGCGCTTAATTTAATAAATGTAGATACCATAGAGAAAAGTTTATCAGAACAATTATGAGTTCATTTTCATCCAAATGTCCTTTGGAAGGGCATGAACCCATCTTTTCTCCACTCCACTGATGACTTACATACCAAGGTAAACTGGGCTCTTTAGCTTTGAGTGGCAACTAGTCTAGGAGAAAAACAAATTTGAATTAAAAAATCATGGAGAGGGCAACAGGAAACCACTCTGTGATCTTTCCGAATAAATTCTAAGAATTCATAGATAATAAAAAAAAAGAATCTATAGAGAACCATGATGATCTCTGGTTTGAGTGGACAAAAAAATCCTGAGCTAAAGAGCTCCAGTTTGGAGTTTGATAGAGAAGTTTATAATAAAATAAATGCTGGCAACCTGCTGGACTTGTTTAGTGGCAAATATAGGTATTTTTTAATCTTAAGACTAGTGGTTGGTGTTTGAACTTTGATAAAATGAAGAATTTCAAATGCTTTTTTTTATGACAGGCAGGTAAGTAGCCCTTCACAGGAGCAACATAATTTTCTCACTTTCATTTTCCACTGATTTGGGCCTTTGTGCCAGTCTGGGCTTAGTTTTGTAAATATCCTATATACCACTCTGCAAACCAAACCCTAAAACTGTAATAATTTTTAAAACAAAAGATACTTGCATAAAAACATGTTCGTTCAACATGTAGACAATCATGACTCTCAATAAGTTTCTATCGTTTGTATCTTTTAGAATTGACTGTCTTTTTTTTACTTCCCTCCCTCTGCCATCCATTTACACAAGGTCATTATACAGATTTACCTCTGTCGCTCTAGAATTCAGTATACGCTGTGAGTGTCAGATTTTCTAACCCTTCTTTCCTTATTATGTGTCCTAGAAATTTCAACTGTTTCTTTCTGCTTTCTGTATAATTGTCCTTTTTGTTTCTCTTTTCTTTAAAACTTTCTTGTTGTTTACATGTTCTATCCCTGATATTCTCAGTATCGTTCTGTAGAAACTCATCTCTGTTGCCTTGTCTCCTCTTCATACATAAATATAATAAATACTATATATAATTTTATCCTGTCTGTTATGGATTTTCTTTTTATGAATAATTCCTACAAGAACATCTGACTGAAATCAAAGATCAGAATTTTGTGTTAATTGGCTTTCTCTGTATGCCTGTGAATCTTGGATGTATTATTGCAGAATTACATCAAAGAATCTAAGCATTAGGAATGAGATGCTACAGAACCATCCTAAGCATTTTCTTTGGAGCTTTGCAGTGCAAGACACCATCAAACATGAAAGAAACTCATTGAAAGACCTCCTATCCACCATCAAGAAGAGAATGTTGAAATGGTATGGACATGTCACAAGAACCAACTGTCTTTCCTCTGCTTTTCTGCAAGGTACCAACTTAGAAGAAAGGGCAAACAGAAGGAGACAATGTTACTGAGTCAACTGGGAGATCCTTTGCAGAAACTCAGACATTAGCAGGCAACTGAGACATATGGAAGGAGCTGGTCAGTTGATCAGCTCCACAGTGACACTATGACCACACTTGCTCATGGGGTTGATGATGATGATGTAGTAGTAGTAGTAGTAGTAGTAACCACAGTGTCAAGCCTTTGGATTGACTTTAATTATCAGCTTTGTTTACAATCATACATATGACTTAAAACAAGTTTATTCTGACACAGAAAACCTCTGTGAAATGCAAATCCTTGGAAATTATTTAGTATCAAATATAATTGCCAACTTGTTTTTCATGTCTAAATTCATCCAAAGTAACTTTTGATTTTACTTTATCTGTCAACTCTACAAACTTCTTGGCATGAAGGTGCAGGTCAGATAATTAATCATTTTACTTGGCATTGATTCAAAAACAGCAAAGATTTATTTTTTAATGCTTAGTTTTCCTTTTTTTCACTTGTTAACTTATGTATTATGTATTTGAATTGGTAATACAATCATCAGTTTATATAGTAAAATATATATAAAATATATATTGCAAAATGACAATAGAAATGGTGTTTGTGTAAAAAGTTGGCAAAGAGACAATTCGGTTTGTGTAAAAGAAAAACAGCAAAGGGACTATTGGGTTTGTGTAAGAAGCTGACAAAGAAACAATAAAAATGGAGTTTGTGTAAAAAGCCAGCAAAGAGACAATTGGGTTTGTGTAAAAGAAAAACAGCAAAGGGTCTATTGGGTTTGTGTAAAAAGTTAGCAAAAGGACAATTGGACTTGTGTAAAAAGCTATCAAAGGGACAGTTGGGACTTGTGTAAAAAAAAAAAAAAAAAAACAGCAAAGGGACAATTGGAATTTGTATAAAAACCAGCGAGAAACCAATATTCAACAATTATTCTATTTAGTGCTGTGTTGTTGAAACTTCTTATTTGCCAAGAAAGGTATTGGTAAAGATGAAGACAATCTGAAAAGATATAATTCTTGAGAATTTCTGTTGCATGTTCATGTTGAGCATGAATCCAATAATTTTATTTTGAGGACAGCAGTTTGTTCCTCAGACAGTATCTCTTCATTGCATAAAAAAGAGTATGGTCAGGAGGGAACTCTGATGTCTGCAGCAAAGACTGAGGACGTAAGGTATTTTTTGGCCATTATCCATGTCAAAAAAGAATTTGTGTTGTATTTTGTATGTGTACTTTTCCTGAATAAATATTGTGAATTCCTTCTATTGCTTCTTTTTCATTCTTTTTGACAGCACTAATAAAAGTAATTATTCTAAGCAACACTTTTTGATAGTGAAACAAATATTTTTATTCCACATTTTTTTGGAGGAATTTTTTTTTTATAAAATCCACATTCCTTTTTTTATTTGTTTTTGATAAATGATATATTAAGTTTTAAAACAATATTTTTGTGATTTCTTATTTTTGTCCAGTTCATCTCGACTATCTTCCACACCATTTACTTTCTCGATGACCACACTCCCAGCTGCTGAACGGGCAAGGTTGTCTGTGCCAAAGGAAGGCTCCAGTGATGGTGATATTAATTTCCTGACAACAGAACAACATCATCAGTTGGAGAAGATGAAACATCGCAATGTAACAAAGAAACCATTTTTTGAAAAGGGTAATTCTCTCATTCTTTTAACAGTTGTCTTGAGGACTAAACTGCAAACCAGTGGTTCACAAACTTTTTTTCTCTGGGTTGCATTTGCTTGTGCCTCACCAAATTTTATGTGATAAAAAGTACATTTAAAAATGAAAAAGACAAAGAGAGGGTTAAAGTGAGAAAACTGTGGATTCAAAGTCAGAACATTATCATTGATAACTCTCTCCTCCAATTTGTGGACCCTAGTAGCTATATTGCTAATACTTGAAATAATGCAAAAATATCACAATAATAAAATCAGTCAATAATTATTTATAACTATTTATTCTGGGACTCATGCATGTAATTACAAGTAATCCATAATAATATTTTAAATTTTGAAATCATATTTGGCATATGAATTTTTAAAAAATGTTTCTAAATCTTTCATTGTCTTTCAATCATTCTGCCTCACCTGCTATCCTCTTCTGTCACGCTTATGAGGCACTGTTTGGGAACTACTGCTGCAGACATTTATTTTATAATATTGAAGCACATTGGCTACTAAAAGGTGTGCAGAAAGTTTTTTTTCTTGTATCTGCTGCCATAACTGTATTAGTTCTATTTATTTGCTAATCCTTCTGGCACAAGGCCATAAGATGCTGACAGTGGTCACCCATGTACTAACTAGGTCAGTTTAACACTACTTTATTCCAATTACCAAACTTAAACTGGTACTCTCAACATGAACATAGCATTATTTACTTGTAGACTATTGTCCACATCTTTGTTATTATTATCACAATGTTTTGGCTATTATGCTCTCTGGTCTTCATTAGTTGCTTGTTGACCTGGGTAACCTTCAGGAAATTTTGAATTGAACCCTTTATTTAATCTATGGGTAGATTGTTCTCATTCTGCTGTGTTCAGCAATATCTCATTTAGTTTTTTAGTACTGCTCAGTTATTGCTTTTCCCAATCTAACGGATTCCAAGTCTGCACTGCCTAGCCCAGGAATTGAACTCACACTTACTGTATCACCAAATTTACAAACCAATGCTTTAATCCACTAAGCTATTGTTCTGTGGACATAACAACCAAAATTTTGTGATAACAACAACAAAGATGAGGACAACATTTCAAATATAAATAATGATAACACTTCATCCCAGAAATTCAGACAGAAATGGATTCTTAGCAATTCTCTTTAATAATCCAATCATAGGAATATTATTTCTCATACTGAAAGTATATGTGCAGTGACTTCAAAATTATAATTCACCATAAAACTAGTCAAAGAATACTAAGGATATCTTCTAAATAGATTTACAATTTAAATGATAATTAAACATTCCTCGAATACAAAACCTTACAGTAGAAGATTACTAAATGAGGTTGTCATATGGACATAAGAGGAGGAAATAAGTGCAGATTATGGAGATATGTAGGATAGATAATGGTTGACCCTAGACTTGAAATGGTTAAGATTATAGTGATTGGGAGAGCAACCTTGAGTAAGTCTGTTCCATAAAGTACCAGTTTTGGGGAAGAAACTGACCAAATAAAACTTCCTTCTTACCAATGGAATTAGGAGGGAATGATGTTGTCTTGAACCAGTGTATGTGACATGGCATGTCCTAGCTGTGAAGGCCTGAACTGGTGAAACTAATGAATGTAGCTCATCTGAACATTTGCCATGGAAATAGTGATAGAATAGTGATTACTAAATAAAGTGGAATAATTATTTATATTATTTAGGTTCAGAGTAATATCCCTATCTTTGTGGTTATTATCACAATGTTTCGACTGTTGGACCCTCTGGTCTTCTTCAGGCATCTCTCAATCTGGTAACCTTCATGAAAGAAGGTTGGAAAGCACAACAGACAAAATGTTGTGATAATAGCCACAAAGATGAGGACCTTAGTCCTAATGTAAATAATATAAATAGTGATAACTCCTCATCCCAGAAATGCAGATTAGAATAGGCTGCTTAAAACCTTCTGGGAACTGCTTATTATATTTTTAACAGACTTCATGATATTTCTGGCTAAAACTTATGTTTGGTAGACTTAGTTAATGTTTTCTCTTCAGGATGTAGGTAATCGTGTCTCACCACAGATTCTGTTTCTTTATTTTCTGTGAATTGCTATAACTTCTTAGGAAAAATAGTGGAGTAACTTCACATTGCCTTCTCTATTATTTTTTATTCAGAGTAGCTCTTCTCCCAGACTGGCTGCCAACCAAGGTATACTCTGCTATTTAACACATAACTGGATTGGTTAGTTTTTGTTTGGTTTATTTTGTTTTATGGCATATCAACTTTAATGGGTTATTTAATGCTGACAAGATTATTAGAATAGGTTTGTATGAATAGAATATGTAGTCTTTGTAAGGAATCACTTCATAGATCATGTTTCGTTGATATATTTTTGTAAAGAGGGTTTTTGTCGAGAGTCAAATGTATTGCTGGTAATTTTTTTTTTTTCAAAAATGTATTGCTGGTATTTTTACAATAAAAATCTCTTTTTATACTTTCATAGTGTTTTGACAGCAGTTTGGGGATTAACTATTTGCCCATAGGTGGTACCCAAACAGTTGCTAGCACTCCGAGTCAGGGTGGAACTGAGAATGATAGCAATTAAGAGGTGGTTCCACACTCCTCAAAACTTCCTGATCAGAGACCTTTCTACCGAATGTAGTTAATTGTCATACCTAGAACAATATATAGCAGAGGCAGAAGAGATGGATTTGTGTTTTCCCAAAGGTATTTGTAGGAAAGAGAGCACAACAGTCTAGCCTGGAATTTGAACCTGGCTCACTGATTCCATTTTTCATACTAATAACCATTATGTTATGTTAGTATTTCATACACAGACTAATAAAATAATAAAAATGCGAGCTTATAAAAAGATAGAGACTAATAAAATAATAATAATGTGAGCTTATAACAAGATAGGCTTATAAACTAATAAAAATGCAGTATAAATAAATGGCCACTATACCACTTATTGCTTTGAATGTTTTATGCACTTTAAAAAAGTTGCTCAGAATTAAAATAAACTCAGAGTCAACTAGACACCTCTGATTTGATAGGCATGTCATCTTTAATGATTAGACAATAGACAGTGTTTCCATGATTCCAGGCTCTTGATATATAAGATCATTTTATTTAAAGAAATTGTGTTTGATGTATTCATTTAATTAAGTTTTCTTCCTGATAAGCTCTATGTTTACCAAACACTTGTCTGGTTATGGTACATGTTGCATAGTGAGTTGTAGGTATGCAGTTTGGTTTTATTGTTTACCATTGAGGGAGGGAGGAAGGGAAGGTGGTTGATGGTGATTTCTGTGACAGGTATAGGCCTCAACCTGAATTTTGAACTAAAACATCTTGTTGACAGCTTAATGTAAATTTGATATGATATATCAATCTGTCTTGTAAGTTGAGTAAAAGACAGTATTTGCTAAATGAATGTTCATGTTGAAAGTACTAGTTTAAGTTTGGTAAATAAGTAGTGTTGAACATAGTACATAGATGAGTGACCACTGAAACACCATCTAATGTCAGTATCTTGTGACCTTGTGTCAGAAAACTTAATAAATAAATAAATAGAACAGTTACGGTTATAGCAGTTGATACCAGAACAAACCTTCCTGTGTATGTTTTGCTAGGAAATGTGCTTCAATATTTTAAAAGGAAATTTGGTATTTCAGAAAAGAGGGGCTATTGTTGTTAGATGACCCCTGTTGATGTTGGTATGCTTGCATGAAAAGCTGTTTATGCTATAAGTTAAAATATTTTCATACATTCCACATAGTTTGTTATTTTGATTTCTTCATTGTTTTTGTGCTTTTTTATCAATTTTTTTTCAAGCTGATTTCTTCATTTTCAGTGTTTTAAATTAATAGTAATATGGATTATGGACAAGCTCCATTTGCATGAAGCAGCTTTGCCCTTTCCACAGCTTAGAGATGGACTTAGTTGTCAGAGGCTATTTGAGATGTGTGCCATGGGAGCATTTTATAGACAGTGGGAGCTTCTTCTCACTGCTAACCCTGACTATGATAAGCTTTGGAATGGAGCATATATAATGTACATATATAAACATTACTTATATTACGTATTTTAGATGCTCATCCTCAAAAATAACATTTCTTTTTTAAAGTAAGCAAGACAAATTACAGAATAGTTGTACATAAATTAACAAGTAAACATAAAAATTAAAAGTTTAATATCTGTGGAAAATTTGGAGAATATGTGTTGAAATATTTTTCATGCATTATTCCATGTATTTTGTTATTTTGATTTCTTTATTGTTTTTGGTTCTTTTTTTAATCAATTTACTTTTCAAGTTGATTTTTTCATTTACAGTTTTTTAAATTTGTATTAATATGGATTATGGAGAATATGGGTTGAAATTTTTTTTATTCTTCTACATATTTCAATAGACTTATGGCCATATCACATTGAAACTTTGGTTCTCATATGATCACCAAAGTTAAGCAATGTTGATCCTGGTCAGTACTTAGATGGATAACTACTTGGGAATACCAGATGCTGTAAGCTTGGATGTGCAGAGGGTGTAATGGATAAGAACTTGGAATTGGAATTCAGAAAACCAAGTTCCAATTCCAGTTGGGTTTGTTATATTCACTTATCCGCAAACACCTTTGGGGAAGGTATGAATCCACTTTTTCTCCCTGCCAGCTACGGGTCAATTAGTATTTGTATCAGTAAATTATTATTATCTCCAAAAAGTTTTTTTAAATCTAAAAATACTTTCTGGCTTTAAGTAACCTGCAAATTGTTGATAAGCCGTAAAACAAAAATCAATCAATCTAGAAACACTCAATATAAATTTCAATATTAGTTTTGAATTGCTTTCTTTTTTTTCATTTCTTTGTTGCTTTTTATTACAAAGTTTGTAACTGATTCATAGTTACATCTACAATTACAATGCCCACTAGACAACCAACAATATAGCAGAAAATTGTTGTAGGTTAACCCTGTAGGCCAATGCTTCTCAAACTATCTGATAGTGGCATACCAGCAGTTTTTTTTCATTGTGCGAGAGATTGATGAGTGAAACTTTCCTATCCAGCTGGCTGGAAGTATGTGTTGGAACTGCTGTATTCTCCTCCTATAAAATGATTTATTTTTGGGTGGATGTGATGTGAATGGTGGCTGAGACACATTGTAATTTTGGCAACACAAGGTGCTATTTCTGACCCTATACATGCATGCAACTGTGTTATAGACTTATAGTGAAATTTTAAAATCTGCTAAATTATGAATCTAAGGAATTAAATACTAAATTTAAAAATGTTGGCCCAAATCCACATGACTCTTCTTTTTCTCCACAGTCAGACAAATTTTTTAAAGGCCTAATTATAAATATATATTTATGAAAATGGCCTTTTGGTATTTCTAGATATGCTTCCCACAGTCACATGCCACATCATTGTGATGCTGCTGTGATACATATTTCAGTTCAATGTTTTGCTGTTCATTATATTGCATTCATTAGTTGTATAACAATAACTTTTAACATGAGTGAGTAATTGAAAAATGTAACCATAATAAATATAAAGCTAAAATAAAAACGTTAAAAAAAAGTCATCACATATCCTGGCAGTCTCTTGTGGCCTGGAATGTGACTACTCTTTCTTTGCTGGTACATGGAGAGTTTCCAGGAAACAAACAATAGGTTGCATATGGGTATCAGTATGCATACCACATTTTGAGTAGCACCGGTGTATACTGCCTGTGGAGTACATAGCCACACCCTTACCATGCTAGGTGGTGTTGTAGTTTTCATAGCAAGTGGGTTTTTACAGGATGTAATTGCTAGCTCAACACCAAACTAGTTTTAAATTCAGAAATGTCCTTCTCCTAAAATGGTTGCCGAGCAAGCAAACTTAGAAACCCCAAATTGCCATGCTATTAATTAACTCTTAGCTGGGGTAGGGAAGGGGAGAAGAGATGGATTCATGTCTTTCCCAAGAGTATTTGTGTGAAAGTAAATGCAACAGCCTCAGCTGAAATTTGATCTTAGTGCATCTATCCCACTTTCTGTTCTGATAACCGCTACACTATGTGCGCATCTCATGGCAGAATATTACAGATGAGAACTTTAACTAGTTATCACAGATTTGTTAGCTAAATTGTTTAAGATACCATCTAGGAAAGTTATAAGATACTTGGATCACACAAAACAACTTTTGTTTTTAATCCTTTCACCCTCAAGCAAGGTGATAATGCCACTAGGACCAAATGATTACAGGAAGTGAAAGAGAATGAGAAAACTTTAGTGAGGAGAAGTGAGGAAAGGACAATAAAGAAACAGGATTCAAGAAGACAGATGATGATTGATGTTGCATTTAAATTTTTGAATATTGTAGGTGGCAGGAAAGCAAGAATTCAGAAGAGACTTCCACAGGAGAGAAATGCAAGAAAAGAAACTATTAGAATAGAAGAGAATGTTGCATCTAGTTAGTTCAACAGTAAAACATAGCACACTTAAATTCATGCAGTTGAGGCACTAAGTAAAAAGGCTGATCAGAACAATTACATAAAAATATTTGTAGAAAAGACAGAAGAAAGCCACATCATGTTGGTGAGAAATGGATTGAAGTTGAGATGCCAGATCAAGATCGATTACATTTTGTTTTGGAATTACTATTATCATCCCTGGTCACAATTTTGGTAAAAAAAACTGTGCATCATTTTGAATTTGCTGCTTTAAATTATGGTACAAATTCAAATCATTGTGTTTTCTTGTATTTTTTTCTATCCCCTGTGAGTAAATGAGGCATGAATTTTGCAGAATTGTGTTTCATTTTCAAATATTCTGTTAACAATTAATGGCATGTACTTGAAGACAAAAAAAATCAGATCATTGGTCTTGTGGGTTATCCTCACATAGCCTTACCATTTTCATCAAAGTCATTAGAATGTGTTGTTAAATGAGACACTACCTGTCTTTCTCCCTCTTATCTATCTTTTCCTCAGCAAGATTTAGTGACAACACCACTGGGACCTTGTGCTCAGGCATGGAGATATCTTTCCCCTTAGTGACTAAACTTTCACACACACACATGTATCATCAAACATAATTCCTAACTTTTAATCTCTTCTTTCATTTGCCTACATACTAGTGTATTTTCTCTTTGTTACGCAGATATATAAAAACAAAAATATAAAATATTGCCTTGTTGAAATTGTCTTCTATTTCCTTACATCTGTCATTTACACGTGTAAAATATTCTCGGTAATAGTGTCACAGTGTCTGACAATAGTCCTCATTGATTGTATGGCAAACTTTTGGGAGATTGCTGTTATTTGGCCTGTTGAAAGTTGGTCAGATTGCTGTTGGTATTCAAGGGACATTTTGTAATGTCTAAAATTTGAAAACCACTCCCTTCTTTAAAAGTTTTTCAAAAGCATTACAACAGTCTTAGCAACAGTTTTCCCGACAAGAAAATAAAAACCTCACGTACACTTTCTGTTCTTTTTTTTTTTTATCAGTCACTGCAAAAATCACCAAATACGCTAACACCAGAATTAAAATGTTACAAATTTATCAATCCAGTGCTACACTATGTGCCATACTGGCTCAGAATAGTGTCAGTTTGTTACATGTAACTCCACCCAGTTCTCAGGCCACATTCTGATTCAGTTTTTTTCCTTGAAGATATCCCCTTTTATGAGTTTGAGCCATTGCTAAAGTTATTTCTTTATTCTTAGTACTTTCAATGTAATGGCTGATGAAAATAATGTAATAAAAAGCAAAAAAAGATAAAGAAAGAAGACAAAATTAACAATAAATATATATACAATAGCTGACTTCATTCCTTAGATGAAGTCTAATCAAGAATTTTTTGGTTCATGTATATTTTAATTAACCCTAATTGCTACAATAGTAATTAATAAATTGTTCTGCTTAATTTTCATTTTAAAACAGGCTTTGTGGGCAATGGGCAATTTTCAACCAGGGTGCTACAAGAAATCACAGATATTATAAATATGAACATCACTTTTATAAATACACTAGCAGCATGGCCCGGCGTTGCCCGTGCTTGATTCAAAAATCGTACGATTCATACAGCAATTGCTATCACTTGACTTAAAATATTTTTGCCCTTCCTTCCCTTTAAAGGAGAGCCCTTTGCCGTGCTGATGTTGCTACATGCCTTACTTCTTGCCTATCTCACACTGCAAATTTTTTCTAAGCTCTATATTAAACATTAAATCTGTTACAAAAAAAGAACTAAACAAAATGAACACAAGACAATCAGCTTTAAAAAAGGACTCGTAACTGGAAAAACCAAATGAAAAAAGAATGTTAACAACAATTACTTTTTCACACCCAACCCAGTTCTGCGGAATCAGAATCAACGTTGAGTTTAAGCAAGCAAATGAGCCAATTGGAGTAAAGTGCCATGCAGATTTAAATTTTTCCCACTTGTGACGAATGTAGCTATCGATTTTTTTTGCATGCTAGCATGCTAGTTAACATTTGTGTCAGTCAGCTGTTAGCTCTCACGCTGGCCAATAGAATCCTCCTGCCTATTTGTGACAGCCAGCTATAAGCTCTCACTCTGGCCAGTAGAAAATGGCCACAAACTACATGAAAACTGCCGTAGAAGCATGAAAAATCGATTATTTCCACTATCGATGGGAGTTGGGAAATGCAAAGTCAATCTTGGCCTTCCCGCTAACTTGGAACTTGTGCATGTAAATTTTGGAGCAAATCTGTCAAAAATTGCGGCCGTGCATTCGTTACACACACACACACACACACACACACACACACATCCTGCCTTATAGATAAAGATTTCTTAGAAATACTATGATAGGGAAAATTTTAAACGTTTTGTTTTTTAAATTACAGAAAATTTATCTTGTGACTTTTTTTTGAACTTTTATTATCCTTCAAATTATAAAAACTGGTCAAAGAAACAGATTCCTTTTACACGTCAGAATTGAAATTCTTTTGTTCAAATTTAAGTGAGAGTACCATTCTACTAACAGAACATGATTATTGACAAAAAAGAATGCACATGACCTAGTGGTAAATCAGACTGATGACATGAAATGTTCTTAGTGTATCATTCTTTGACCATATAACCAATGACTGCATAACAATTGCTATGAAATTCAAAGACATTATTCTTCAAAGTCAATGGCACAGGCAAGATGGTTGGTCATCTGGTAACAGAAATATTAGAGAAAAAGATGAATAAGAGAGTGGAGCCTAGAAATGAAAAAAATGTAAGATCTTCATTGAGGTGAAATCAGCAGATTATAAAAAAATATTGAACAAAAAATTGGCCAAAAGTGAAAAAAAAGCACAAAATGATTGACAAACAATTTAAAGGGTGGATCAGATGAATGATGAAACTTAAAAAAGGTGTTGAAAATTTAAAACTTCTGGAAGGAATGAACAGCTGAATTGTGACTGAACAAACAAATTAACTACTACTAAGTTATCTATTGGGATGCCCCCCCCCCATGAGTCATCACAAGAGATGCACATAAATTAGGTGACATAAAGAGCTATTT